GATATATAAGGCGTGAGGACCAGAAACTAGAAGCATTTGGCTGGTTAGCATGTGGCTGGCTAAGCTTCAGGCTTTCGAGCAGCCGTTCAGCTGAGAGCCATTGGGATGAGGACACAGAAACTTCCAGTCTGAGGAAACAAGACCAGCTGAGAAGTTGGCCAGGTGAGGTTAGCTGTGGCTTGTTTTGTCTCTCTGATCTACCAGCATGGACCCCAATAACCGGCCTCGGGTTTGATCTTATTAATAAGAACTTTTAAGATTCCTGCTACACCTCAGCCCCGCTCACTACTCCATGCTTAGTAAGTTCTTTCTCAATATCCATGGGATGAATTCCTCAAAGAAGATGCAGCATGACTTTTCCAGGAGACATGCCTGTCTACCCAGACAAGACAGACCAGAAAACAATCCCACTGACATCCAGCATAACAAACCAAATAATTTATAGGGGCTTCTTATGGGAGCATGGACAAGGGTTCCTATGGGAACCTGGGTAACTCTGTCAGTGACAGTTCCAAGAGTTTCTCATGACACAGGCACCTTTTCAGAGAGACATGTCTTCCCCTTCTAAGTATTAGCCCTTATCCTGGGACCCAGTAAAAAGGGAAAAGGCAGTGGGGTGGAGCGCTCTGGCCAACCTGCATCAGCAATGCGGAGCCATGATGGTGGATACACCCCACCCCACCCCACCCCAAAGATTTGTGTGTTGACAGCCTGGCTCCTTAGGGCAGGTGTGATCGGAACTAAGGTTTTTAGGGGGAGTGACTGAATCCCTGGAGCTCTGACTTCATCAGCAGATTGATCCACTCATGGGTACCTAAGGTGATAGGCCACTGGGAGATGACTGGGTCCTGGAAAATGTAACCTAGTTGAAAGAGAGTGTGTCTTTGGGGGCATATGGCTGGAGCGCTTACTCCCTCTCCCGACATGAGGTGGCTATATGCTTACATGCTGTCATTGTTATGATGTTCAACCAAGTGACCAGATGAAACCTTTCCTGTTTTAAATCGTTTCTCTCAGGTGTTTTGTCATAGCAACAAATCCCCAACACACGGACCTATTTCCTCTCTCCCATGAGATCGTTTATCTGTTTCAGAGGTCTAGAGGTGAGATGACTTGCCTAGTCATATCCCACCGCTTGGTGACAAAGCTAGAGTAAAGTCAGATGGTGTTTACCCACCCCCACCCCCACCCCCACCCCTCATGAGGGGCAACATCGGGATGACATCCTTTCATTCACAACGGAGGAAGCAGACTGAGAGAGAGGCATGCCCTCCCATCCGTTCAGGTATCACTTTCGAATTGCGCCTTATTTAGATGTTACATTTTAATTTAGTTGAACTGATACATAATTACAAATTTGTGTGTATTTACATTATGTATACAGTGTATGAGTTTCCATCAGGGCAAAGGTCTCTACCCAAATATTTATGGTTTCTCTGTGAACATTCCTCCTCCCGTCCCGTTTCTGGAAGGTGCCGTCCGCAGTCGCCCACAGTTCAAAGCATACCGGGCTTTCCTGCTCCATATGCAGGAAACTTCATATGGAAACTGTTAACTTCTCCCTCAACATTCCACATCCTTCCCTCCCCGCTTTTCAGGTTTAAAGGCGCATAACAGGTTTTAAGGGCTTTAAAGATGGCACTTTGTTTCTGTATATGAGGCAGGAGATCTGGGGATGCTCCGTTGAACCTAGGGTCCGAGGAAGTCACCATCTAGCATCGGGCTCTCGAGACTGCGGCTTCCTTTATTGCGCAGGCGCCGCTCTGGCGGCGTCGCCCCGCCCCACGTGGGCGAACCCACTTCCAAGAGGACAGGGGGTGCAGGGTGAACTCTTCGCGATGGTTCAAGCCAAGCTCTGACCAATCAGAAAGCCCCGCCCCGCTAACCCCCGCCTCCAGCTGCATCCTGATTGGGCTGCTTTTTCAAAGACGCCAGGAGGCGCACAGCGGTGATTGACATCGTCTGAAGCCATTGGCCAAGCTGAGAGCCGTCAAAGGCAGCAACCTCTCGGCTTCGTGCGGCGAAGAAAAATGGGTTTCCCCGCCTCCTTCTTCTATTGGATCCCTGGAGCCTCGGAGCGTTTGGCAGCAACCAATAGGAGGACAACATGGAGGGAGGAGGCGGGCTGGTGATGGTTGCCAGGATCCTGTTTGGCGCGACTCTTGGGACCAGTGGGATTAGTCGTTTGTGTCCCAGTTCTACGGCAGGGGCCTGGTCCGGAAGGCGGGACTGGGAGCGGTTCCGCTGCGCCCCGCCCCGCCCCGTGGGCACCTCTGCAGGCTGCCTGGGGCCTTGGAGCCCAATGTCCACCCAACTCTAGCGCCCGGGCCTCCATCCATCCATCCATCGCGGCCACAGGCCCTGGGATCAGCTGACCCCGAATCCTAGCCCTCTTTCAGGCGCCCCCCACTCCCCGTCCCTGCTAGTGGGCTGGTTACCATGGTGAAGTTAGCAGCCAAATGCATCCTGGCAGGTGAGTTGTAAATGGGCTTGAACGCGTGGTCTTCGGAGCCTGAGCCGTCCTAACTCAGTTTTGGTTCACGATTGCATCCGTCCACTGTCTGTCTCCCATAGAAATGCCTGCAATGACCAATAAAGCAGATTCCGGAAAGCGGGGCGGGGGGGGGATTACTCCCTCGCCCCTCGGACACGTTTGTAGCTGCAGCTGTGTGTCCCCCCCACGCCCACCCCAGCCCCCGTCTCCCGTATTTTGAGACCATCTTCACCAGGTAGGCTTACAGTACAAACATGGACTTTCCCCCTAAGTTGGGCGTCAGGGACGCTAGCCCCACAAAGTTCACATCAGCTACGCTGGCCCCTCTGATGTCAGGAAGGTGGGAGTGGGGAGGGTTAGCTTTCTGTGTTCCCCAGCTCGGGGCGCGGACTAGGAGTTTCCCCAGAAGTAAGGATCTTGTTATCGTTGACTGACATGAAAAGAACCTGCACAATGCCTAGAGCATGGATAAGAATTAAATAGATACGTGCAGGGTGAGTTCGTGGTCCTCACGCCTGTGGGCGTGCCTTGAGCCAGTCCGAACATTTAGAAGACCACTTAGCTTGTAGACTGGTAAAACAGCAGCTGTGTGGACACTGCATGCCAGGCACCCGTCCTTCATTTAACCCCCCTTGCCACACAGCACAGCAGGGCAGGTTCCGTGTAGTCCCTGCTGTGACTGGGGCACTGAGTGGCGTTAGGGGCACTAGGTGAGCCCCTAGTGAAGGTCATACACAGGATTCCCAGGTCTGCCTGACTCCAGATCTCTGTGGGTCGGGAAATGTCGGCTACTTTTCTTGTTGTTATGACAACATACTTGACCGGCGGCAGCAACTTAAAGGAGGAAGGACTTAACTGTGGCTCTCAGTTCCAGGGGACAGTCCATCCCGGTGGGGAAGGCGCAGTGGCAAGAGACAGCGGCTGGCTGGTCACATTGCATCCACAGTCAGGCCGTGAGCTTGAGCGTGGCTGCTCAGCTCCCTGTCTCCTTTGTATCCAGTCCGGGCGCCAGCGTATGAAATGGTACCACCCACCTTTGGGGGCGGGCCTTCCGCCTTAATTAACATAATTTCTAGATAATTTCTCACAGACGCGCAGAGCCCATGATTCTTCTTTGTAATCAAGAAATTAGCAAATGAGGAGAGGGTGTCTTTGGATCTTTACCCTTACAGACTGAGAATGGGGGGTAGTTCCCTCAATGACTTTCCTAATTTGAAAACAAAAGGGTCACGATGCAGAAAGATGAGTGAGGGTCGTGTCTCAGACCCTGTTGCAGCCCCAGGAACCCCGGCTCTCTAGAGTGCCTCCGGTTCTCGGAGCAAGCGATCGAGCGCCAGGGGAGGCACTGTTGTGTAACGAAAGGATGTTGGTCAGTCCCCTCCCCAGCTCTCTGGCCTTGGCCACTGTTCAGCTTCTGCACGGGTAAGCTGGGGACATCTTCATTTTTCCAAAGTTAAGTTTCTTTTTAAGTGGGCGGCCCCGCCTGCTGTTCTTTGCTCGTGTCTCCTCAGCTGGTGAGCTCTCAAGAAGCAGGAAGCTCCTGCCATGAGCCCCTCTCCTGAGACTTGCTGTGTGCGTGCGTGCGTGCGTGCGTGCGTGCCGCATGTCACACCCTCAGTGCGAGTCTCTTGCCCAGTCCTCACAGCCACCAGCCAGTCCTGTGTCACCCTCGTGTAACATGAGGCAAGCAAGGTCCAGAGCAATGGAGACCCTTGTCCTAGGTCCAGACCCCAGCACTGTGCCTGCCACGTGATTCCAGCCCCAGCCAAAGTCAGTAGTGGCTCATGGCCTCCGCCTCAACCTGGTCCTCAGTCCACAGCTTCTGTGGCTTGGGATGGAGGGGGATAAAAAGGGCACAGTTGACATGCATCTGTGTTTCGTTATTTAACAAACAACACTGTGTACCAGACAGGGGACATACTGACTCATGAACTCTCTAGCAGTTCTATGGAGTAGGTACTGCTGTTAGCCCATTTTCCAGATGTAGCAAAGGGGGCATGGAGGGGTTCAGTAATGGACTTAATATGGCACAGTTAGTGTGGAGCTGGGGTCTGGCCCCAAGTCGTTGCCTTTTGGTGATGAACCATCTGTCTAGCGATGTGGGGACAGTAGCCATGCTTCCCTGGAGCGTAGCCCTGGCATCCTTTCCGATGACATGAATCTGATATGGTAGCCACCCTGGTAAAGACAGCAGAGGGACAGATGACCTCAGAGGCCACACAGGAAGCCAGTTGAGATTTGCCTAGAGAGAAAGGACAAGATCTGGACTTGGGGGGGGGGGATGTTCAGGGAACAAAAGGACAAACATGGTGCATCTCGTAAGGGACCATTGGAGATGGCCGGAGAGTTCGAGGTTGACGGAAGAGAGCTGTGGATGCCTGCTGTGGGTGAATGAGAGGACTCGGGACCGTTCTGTTCCGCGGCTCTCTGATGGGACTGAGATGTGGTTGGTGGCATGGAGAGTCAGGGACAGGCAGTGACAGAATCAGCTCCTGCCACATAAGAGGCCAGAGTCAGCCAGCAGAAGCACCGAGGCACACGGCAGTGGTGCAGAGCCGGACGGACCCCACGGAGCTAGGTGCGGGCCACGGGAGGGGCACTGCCTGGCCGGTACAGCATACGGTTCCGTCAGCCCTAGGGCAATGCCACCGTGCGCCACATCGCCACCAGGACCTGTCTCCCCCGGCAGGGGACTCAGCTCGGTTTCAGAGCCAGGTGCAACCCAGGCCGTTTCTGTGTTTGAGACGTCCACGCAGGTTCAAGCCAAAGGTGGAGCCTGTGTCCTGGTGACCACTACACCCCACGGCAGTGACTGTCAGTTGGTGTCAAGTCGCCGTGTCAGAGGCAAGGAGACTGGGGGAGCCAGGTGCAGGGGATCACTGGCTCCAGGGCTGGGCAGAGAGAAGCTAAAGAGGGGGCTCCCAGTCCTGCAGATGATGTACGAGCTCCCGGGGCAGCTGTGGGCGGTGGGGGGATGTGACCCGAGTGTAGGCTTGAGAGACAGCCCAGAACAGATGAACTAGGGAGAAGAAGGCGGGATGCAGGAGGTGGTGGTGGTGGTGGTGGCCATATCCTGGAACAACAAAGGTGCTGGAATGCTAAGATAGACGGAGAAATCCCTCAGGTCTGCCGTGAGACATGGGCTTGGCTGCGGACAAGCAAACTGTTAAAGACAGTGGAAGCCCCCACGATGGCTGGAAGCACAGCCAGTTTTGGGAAGAGCTGGCCTAGGGCGGCAAGGGTCAAGGAATGAGAGGGCTGTGACTGTGGCTCAGTAGTCGACCCCTTGCCTCACATAGCTTAATCCACAAGCTAAGATGTGGGGGGCGCAGGGGGGGGGGCGTGAGCTGAGGCAGAAGAGCCAGGATCACAGCCCTGAGGATGAACCCAGCAGTGCCCATCTTTGGAAAACTGAAGAGGAGGAAGGCATGTAAGGGACAGGGAAGCAGGCAATAGTGACCAAACAGAGCCCGTGCAGAGTCACCACAACGACATGATCAGGGCGGGGCGATAGGGAATTGTTCAGGCCACCACCCCCATCTAGAGAGTTCACTAGTGAGAACCCAGGCGAGGTCGCCAGACTCGGCGGTTAGTCATGAGGCCGTGGGTAGCCTCACATGGTGCCTTCCCAAGGCAATCCAGTCTCCAGCCCTGGCCGTGGCTCCGGGGAACCCCCGCACCCAGCAGCCACGTGGGCTCACAAGCTCTCGAGGTTTCTCGTGTTCCCTCGGATGCTCTGCTTCTCAGCTGTGCTGTCTGCCTCTTGTCATCCTGTTGCTCTGAGAATATGTTTATCAGCTCCCTCCGCCTCCCCATGCTCAGATCCCTTCTCATAGCCCACACAGGAGCTTTGCTGCCAGCCTTGGTGACTGGCAGTCAGCAAAAAGATTCATGAAATTAACCAAAACCAATCTGTGGGGGAATTTCCCAGGGAGGAAGAGCCAATTTCCTCCCAGGTTTAGGAACAGAATGCGAGTCAGGATAGCGACTGACTACCTTCTGGGTCATCCGGGAGGCAGGGGGGAGGAATTGCTGGGCCATCTGCCCTGGAATAGGTGGGACCCACTGACCTTGAGAGGCCCATAGAGCAAAGAGCCTCAAGGTGGCATTTTGGATTGTCAGCCAGACCAGCCTAGTAAAGCAAGGCAGTGTAACTTCCTAGTTTGTCACCTAGCTTCTCTTGTCCCCTGTGACTTCAGTGGGGGTGCAGCATGGGAGGGAAGGGCTTGTGAAGAGAGTGCCGCCCATGGCCGTTCCCTTCTAAGAAGCGCTGGCAGGAAATCCAGTCCCGAATGGCTCACTCGGCCCTAGCAGAGGTCTCCTACGTCGGGACACCACAGCTGTCATCTAATTGTCTCACAAGAGAAAATGACAGGTGGGAAAAGTCACAACTGAGCAATGTCCGGAGCGTCAGACTGAGGATGGAGATTGGGGTGGGTGCCGGTGATGTCCCCGAGGGTCAGGAACATGAGAACGCAGACAGCCGCTGCCCCGTAACACCTGGGCAGTGGACTGAGAGTCGGTATTCTGCTCTCAAGAAGGGAATGATACCCTGCTCATGTAAGACTGGCAGGGTTCAAGGCTACAGGTGGGACAGCGGAGAGGGCACTGCCCCCACGACAGCTCCGGAAGAACTCGTTACGAGACTGCTCCCTCTTATCTCGCAAAAGACTCAGGTCTGGGCCTGAAAACTGACAGGAACCTTTCTGATCTGCGGTCCCCAGAGCTATTTGTTCAACCAAGAGAGGAAAAGGCTCAGCCCAGCTGGGCCAAGTGGCTGTGAGATATGACTGCAGATGTGGGGTCGGGGTGGAGGTGCATGCTCCTCAGTCCGCACCTAAGCATTCACCTGGCCCGTCAAGATGGAGTACATCACTTGAAAAGGAGTTTTTGCCCAGCCACTGCGGCCTCTGGACGTCTTTAATGCCAGTGCAGAGAAGGCAGGCCGTGGCTCAGCCAGGTAGGGTCACAAGTTGGCTGCTCACTCCCTTCTGCTGGCCAGATGCTGGAGTAAATTGGAGTTTGAAGTGACAGGTTTCCCCACGGGGTGTGCTTGGGTGGAAGACTTGTCACTTCCGTTGCCAGGGCTCGGGAGCCCTCCTTGATCCCTGTTACCTTCTAGGTCATTCCGGTTGACAGGGCTCTGAGGTGTAGAGAAATGTCTCCTGGCCCTGGTAAGCTCGAAAGATGGGTCTCCTGGATCAGTTACCGTGCTGGCAACGTCTCTGCTTCCCACGAGAGCTGCAGACGTTTGCTCTGAAAACTCGGGGAAGTCAAAGCCCTCTGTAGGAGGAGGAGGAGGTTCTCACGCCCCATGGGACCCAAGTGATGTCTTTTCCTCTGCTCTGGCTTCAGGAGACTCGGCTGTAGGCAAGACAGCCCTGGTGCAGATGTTCCGCAGCGATGGGACCCATTTCCAGAAGAACTATACTCTGGTGAGCTGGGCCTGGGCAGCCCCGGCCTGGTCACAGTGTACAGAGAGGCATGACCATTAGCCCTGAGAGAGTGACTTAGCAAAATCCCCAGATGATGTCCTCAGAGGCCTGAGAAAAAATGGGGAAATGGCCACATGGAGAGCCAGTTTCCACTGGCCGCCAGTAAAAGACTGTCTCCTGGGGGGACTGGCCAGGACACCACATGGTTGCCAGGACAGTGGAGGGCAGGGAGTTGGGAGGCCATCGGGGCCTCTGACTTCTACTTGACTGGGATACGTCTGCAGAGAGGTGGGGGGTCTTGCCTCATTCTGGGTCGCCCCACTAACGCCCATCATCTTGGTGTCCCCGGCAGACAACAGGTGTGGATTTGGTGGTGAAGACAGTGCCAGTTCTTGACACAAATGACAGCGTGGTGAGTGGAGCCCTGAAGCCAGGGCTTCTGGGGCTGCCGCCATGGGCTGGGGGTGCCCTCTCTGCAAGGGACGTGGGGCAGTGACGCAGGGGGCCTTGGAGGGAGGGCCTGAGGAGGGAGGGGAGGGCAGGGCTGGGATGCAGGCCCTACCAAAACAACTTGGTATCTTTTATCTGAGTCCTTAATGGGATCCCTCCAGAGACCCCATGCATGATGTCATATCCGAGTGGCTGCTCCCAGGGAGAGGGTCTGTAGCATTCACTGGATCCTTAAGGAGACCCCGTAGGCAAAATGAAAGACACAGACGTTCCCTGATACCACAAGAAAGGCTGAGGCAGGAGCCACTCCAGAAGGCAGGTCATGGAGTGGACAGCACTGGCTACCAGGGTTCAGAGCCAGGCACGGGGGGTCCTGCACCTGGAGGGGGCTCGGGGATCTCAGGGGACCCCGAGCAAGCGAGCAGCAGCATGGTGGAGGGTTTCCACCAGGGCTGGGAAGGCTGGGCGCCTTGTGTCCGGAGCACACGGTCACCATCTCAGAGCGGTGACAGGCTATCATCGTCGCACCTGGGCTGGGAAGGCTGGGCGCCTTGTGTCCGGAGCACAGGTTCACACTGTCCTACTTTAAGCAGTGTCCCCAGGCCTCCTCGGTGACCTCCTTTACCAAGAATCCTCACACGATCTGAGAATCCATTTGGTTAACAAAGCACAAAGTGGCCTTTTGGACACCAAGATCACGTGTCGGCCAGCTCTGCGCTCTGTCCCGCCAGGTGGGCAGTCAGCCTGCTCCCTCCACTTTGTGCTTGAGGTCGGGAACGGTGGGCCAGGTCACGATGCCAGGTGGGCGGGAGCTGTGCCTCTGCCCTCGGGGCACTCTGGACTGCTCTCGCCAGTCTCTCTGGGGCCTCAGATAGAGCGTGTGCGGAAGCACCCACGCGCATGGGCGTGTACTCTCTCTGCCCTCGAAACCACGTCCACAGAGCACTTGGTGGGAAACCTCGACTTGCCCCTTACCGTGTTCACTTCTGAGATACACTTTTCCGCTTCCAGGAACTCTTCATTTTTGACTCAGCCGGCAAGGAGCTGTTCTCTGAAATGCTGGATAAATTGGCAAGTAGTGTGCTCTTTTTTTTTTTTTTTCTCTTATCCACCTCCGCCACCCACTTGTGCCCAACCCTTTCTCCGGTGGCACTCCCCGAAGGGACACACTGGGGCCATCAGAAGGTAGCCAGGCAGGATCCTTTAAGGGGCATCCCTGCCAGCTGGGGTTTGGGGCCCTTGGCAAGTAGGTGTTCCTACGTGCCCATCATGGCCACTCCCAGCTCTGGAATGTGCCAGGAGTCTTGAAGCTGGTCAGTCCTTGAAGCCTGCTCCAGGCTGCTGTTTTTGAACAGCCCCTTCTGGGGGTTTTACAGCCCTCTCTGGCCTCCCAGGAAAGGAGCACTGATCTCGTTCCCTCTAGGGAGGCCTATAGCCAAAAATGAGGCTCTGCCCCCTCTCCCACACCAAGAAGGGTCCTTGCATTGGCCTTATTCTGCCAAGCTCTCCAGAGCCCATCCTGGGCTGGCCTTCCACGGATACTAGAACATAGGATTCCGTAGGCCCCACAAGGTCAGAGCAGGACCTGATATGGGAGGTGGTACCCAGAGCCTGTGCACCAGAGGGAGAGTCCACAGCCCAGGCAGAGGCATCCTGTGACCCCCATCATGGGCAGGCAGCAGGATATTTAGGGACTCTTTAGGCTAACAGCCCTTAGTGTGGAACCCTGGCTCTTGATTGGGTGACAGCGCCCCCCCCCACCCAGGTGTTAGTGTAGTGTGCATTAGGGTTGATGGCGACACCGTGGGGAAAGCCAAAAATGTACCCAAGTTTTGAAGAGCCCACCCTTACGAAGTAGATGCCGGTAGATACATCCAGGGACCAGGCAGTGAAGGAAACCGTGTCACCCTCAGCAGCCTGCAGTTTACGAGAGCACCATAGTCTCTTTAGTGGTGGGCTCTCAAATGATTGAGATGCGTGAGTTAGTAAAACCATGAGAGACAAGAGCGGGCTGCTGTCCCCTAGCCTGGCTGCCCCTGGAGCCTGTCAGCCAAGGCCAGTCAGCATCCCCTCTGAGCTGTTTTCTTCAGCTACGAAGTGAGACTCTCCCCCAGACAACCCTACCAACTGGGGCGTCTCCGTGATGAGAGGTGCCTGGCAGCCACTGCTCCCTTCTGGGTAGGAATGCCCCTCCCCCAGGTTCAAGCTCACCTGTCCCAGATGGGAATGCCTGTCCCGCATGAGTGCCTCTGAGCCTGGCCTGCTCCTTTCATTCTGTGGTGAACGGTAGCTATCTGTGAGTGTGACCGTTTCCCAGCTCACATCCCTCCCTCACCCGCCTCCCTGAAAGCTGGGTCCCCCCCCCCAATCCAAGAGTCCCTGTTCCACCCCTGAAATGTTCTTCTCCTGTCCCCTGCTTAGTGGGAGAATCCCAATGTCCTGTGTCTCGTCTATGATGTGACCAATGAGCAGTCCTTCATCAGCTGCACCAGGTGGCTGGAGAAGGTCCGGGCCCAGACTCCGGGTACCTTCCTCCCAGGTAGGAACTGTGGATAGCCTTTTGGTAACAGCAAAGGCCTCTGGCCTTCAGCTCAAGGGCCTTGGGTCACTACACATGCCACTGCGGGAACAGGACAGGGGCCTGAACCCCCGAATCTTTGACTCAAACAACCTTCACTGTGCCCTTGCTCTGCCTTTTCATGGTCTTGAAAACCGCCCCAAGCCTGGGGTAGGGAGACAGTGCCACCCACCAGGAAATGTTGTGAGAGTCTGGATAATAAGAAGGAAGGTGCTGCATTCTGAATTGATGTTTTCAGAAAGCTAACTCCGGGGAAGAATCCCTCATTTTCCCCAGTACACAGGGCACAAGTTACATTCCAGCCCTGTTATCACTTCGGCATGCTTTAAATCAGTTTCTTTCTCATCCCTGTGTGAGATCAACAAATTCTCCTCATTAGAGGCCAGAGAAAGCAGCCTCCAGAGACGGGCTGAGAAATTAGCACAGCCGAGCCAGCTGGGAACGGAGCTCAATTACCTGAGTCCCTGACTCCGAGCCCGGGCCCGAGATTAGCATTAATGACCATGTCCGATGTTGGTTCCATGTGCTGGGAATTATCACAAATGCTTTTCTAGACTCAGCCCAGGCCAGCCTGGCGCTTACAGCCTTAAGGAGACGAGGAGCATAGATCTGTGTGAAGCCACAGGAGAACTTTGAGGGAGCTGCATGTGCACAGCAAAGCCAACCTGTCCTCTGTGGCCCTTGGGGACCTTCCCTTCTGGTGCATAGCACCTCAAGTGGGCAGCTTCTGTCACCTGATGGATCACATGCCCTTCTCTCTGCAGCTGACCTCCCATCCTGCCACCTCAAAACACAATATTGTGGTTATTTCTCTTGAGTAGGTGTTTTAGTGGGGACTAAGACAGACCTGGCTGGCCGACGAACAGTGGATTCTGCGCAGGCCCAGGCGTGGGCACTGGGCCAAGGCCTGGAATTCTTTGAAACATCTGTGGTGAGTCCGCCCCCCCACCCCACGCTCTGAGCCACTGATCTGAGAGAGCTCTGTGCTGGAGGTTTGTTCATGACCTCAGATGCATTTAGTGGTTCTGTTCCCAGGTGCAAAATCTAAATTCTGCATTCCAGCCAGAATGCTGACACTCCACCCAGAATGCTCAGTGTGTGTCCTGAGAGTCCTCTGTGTGGCCCCAGGAAGCAGGACAGACAGCCCACCCTAGGCAAAGCTGCGTGCATCTCAGGAAGACTTTGAAGTGGAAGGTGTTCCATCTCCCTGACCCTTGAACTCTGTGAGCACTGCAGAAGGACACAGCACTTACTGTTGGCTTCAGTGGCACCTCCCGGATAGCTCTGCGAGACAGGAATTGTCCTGTCCCCAACTCAATGTTGAAGTGAAAAATGACTATCCCAGGCCCACATGACTGGGGTGCACCCAGCCCCAAGACCACCACCACCACCACCACCCCATCCCCCCCACCCCTGGCCTCTCATCGCATAGGAGCATCTAGTGTCATCTTTGATGTAAGAGCCTTCCTGCCGTGAGAAACCCTGAGTGATGGGTCACTGGCGTCATCGGGGCTGTCTAGCACAGTGACAGATCTTCTGACATTTGGAACGTTGAAAGGTTCCGGGCACGTGGTTCTGACCACACCACATGCCTGTTCTGAGCCTCCCACCACAGGCATGCAGACGGCCCAGACACCAGTGTCTCATAAGAAGCCGTGGCCCTCCCTCGCTCAGGAGCATTGCCCAAGAGTCCTGCCAGGCCTGCAGTGGGGTCTGACCTTGAGGTCTCTAGACCCAGTTCTTTGGCTTTCCAAAAGAGTCAGCGGGGGTAGAGCATACCCTGGGTGTCACCTCCTCCAGCTGCAGGCTCTGTGCTGTGTGGATGTAGACATCTCTAGTGTCCCACACTGGCACACTTCCCCAGAGAAGGCGTAGCCTTCAGGGCAAAAGTTCTGCCTTCCCATGGCATGGAGCGCATCTGGCTCTGGGACCCCTGGGAATGGGATGTACACCATGGGGCCTCAGCCTCCTCACCCGCAAGGACAGGGATAGGAAACTGCCCTTTGCTGATTATCACACACAGGCATGTAAAACACGTAACACAGCGTCTAGTCTAGTTGAGTAAACACTCAACATGCTAGCGTTTTATAACAGGACTGCTCCCCAATACGGTGTTTCTATTGTTACTACTTACTAGACCCCAGAACCAATGTCTGGTACAGAGATGGATGTCACCCCTGCCTCGAGTCCAATTACCACGATACTCGATTAATGAAGTTCAAAGGCAAGAGCTCGCCCTGCCCAGGGCTCCCCGGCCGTGCCGTGCTGTGCCGTGCCGTGCCGTGCCGTGCCGTGCCGTACACTTTGGAGCGAGCAGTGAGCTGTAGACCCATAGCTCCCCATTCCCTCCTCCTCCCCCTTCGTCAGCCACACCATCCCCTCCCCCCAACACCCCATATTTCCCAGAAATTAAAACCTGCCCCGACACATCAGTCACCCCAGGCCACTGGTCAGCTCCGTTCGGGTGTCAGCGAGGATGCGCATAAATCCTGCTTGAAGAGGCTGCAGTTGAGCACTCGGTATTAACCGTGCCAGTTAACTAGTCCCCCCTGAGTTGCCGCTAACAGGAGCGCCACTGGCAGCCCGGTTAAGAAAGCTGTAATTAAAAAGGGAACATAACCCAATGTGGTTTGAGACGCTGCCAAGCCCGTCCTCCTCCTCCGCTCCTTCCCAAGTGCGGCCGCCTCGGGGAGAGACCCCCATGGTTCTTCAGCTCTTAAGCACCCCTTCATGTCTGACATTTCCGGGCCCCCCAAAAAAGTCAAAAAAAAAAAAAAAGGATGTCTTTGAACAAAGTTTAAAGAATTTTCTAAACCAAGGTCAAAACCCATTCTTCATTGCTAAGGTGAGATTACGTACAGAACGTGAGAGCCAGGCCAAGTTCACGTCTCCCCGGCGAGGGCTGCCCTCCCAGGCCACCGAGGGCCTGCTGTTTGATTGTGTAAATTACCTTTTGAGCTTCAAAGCAACCTGACAGGGCAGCTGCCGCTGTCGCTGTTGTTCAGTTAGCAGACAGGCCCAGAGAGGCTGTGTATCTCTCCCTGGTGCACAGCTAAGGGGTAGAATCTAGACCAGGACACAGCCCTGCCCGGGAAGAACAGAGTGCTTCAGGTCTTCCAGAAGGAGTACACACTCTTGACCTCCTCACGGGACCTGCTTGGGGGCCCTTGGTGACAGAGTTCTAAGTCACACCGAGGGCTAGTCTGAGCCTACTCTAAACATTGTCACTCAGTAGCCTGTGTTGTCCGTGTCCAAACTGCTCAGGATGATAATTAGTCATCAGATAAAAAGGCTTCTATTGCTGGCGGCCCCCTTAATGCGTTTGGAAAATGGTTCAATTTCCATCTCTTTCCAAGCACTCCATGATGTCTGTCGAGGCTCCTGGGCATTGAATTCCTTTCGTTTTATGATGGGTTCTCCCGACTTGTGCTTTGGAGAGCTTTTGACTTCATCTAGAAACTTCCCACATAAGGCTTCATAGGCCTCCTTCCTTCCGCTGGGCGCTTAAGGACACTTTGGTTGGGGTGGGGGGGTGGGGGGTTGTTTAGTGACATTGACTGCCTGGGACATGATGGCCACACAAGCAGAGGTGCGGCTGGCTGGCTGGGCTCTCCTGCCTGTGGGGACCTTAGCACGTGCTCGCTGGGCTGCAGTCTGTCCTTTCAGCACACCCTTGGCGCTGAGCCCTGCTTTTTCTTGGCCCGCAGCTCCCCCTGATTGCACTTGCTTCTCCCTTGCTGTGGGGTCCAGGCAGCTTTCTTCCCCAGGCCTGGTACACTTCTGTCCTTTGTATGGCCACATCATTAAAAAGGTCACCCGCCCCAGCCTGGATCAGGATACACTGTCCAGCTGGGCCCCTCCACCCTCTGGGCTTCATCCACTCCTCCGTAAAGTGCAGACACACCGACTTCTGCGATACTCCTCCCATTTCATCGGGGACACTTCAGGGCCTCGTATTGAGCTCTGCTGCGCCTTTGGCAGCCGCTGAAAAGCTTTCAGACAGGCCCTTGTAGACTCTTAGCTGCATCTCCTATCTGCAGTGTGCTAGGTTCTCGCTGCCACTTTGTTCTTAAAAATGCCCAGATGGTGTGGTGGTGTGTGTCCCTGTAATTCTACTGCTTGGGAGACTGAAGTGGGCAGATAAAGCATTCAAGGCCAGCATGGACTGCATAGCAAGACCCTGTCTTAAATTGGTGGTGGTGGTGGTGGTGGTGGTGGTGGTGGTGGTGGTGGTGGTGGTGGTGGTGGTGGTGGTGGGTGATGGCGGTTAGAGATGTAACTCAGGTAGAAAAGTGCTTATCTAGTTCAGGGCACTCTGAATTTGATCATCAGCACCATAGAACATACCTAGAACCCCAGAACTCCAGAGGTAGAGGCAAGAAGATCAGAAATCCAAGGTCAGCCTTGGCTATAGTGAGTTCGAGGCCAGCCTAAGCTACATGAGACCTTGTCTCACAAGACAAAAAAGTTGGCTGAGAGACAGGTTCCTAGGTTGGGTCCCCTGGTGTTGCAACATTTTAGGCCCAATAAAAAACTTGGGAGATAGGAACCCAGACACAAAACAAAACCAGGCCCCCACATTGCAGGTGCATAGTGGCCATGGTGTCAGGAGGTTGCTGTGTGTGTGTGTGCCCTGCCTTCTGACAGCCCCTCGGACCTCACCTTGGAGGGCCCGTCATTGGCCACTCTTGGATGCAACCTAAGACAAGCTCCTTCATTTTTCCAATCCTCTGGACAATAGAGATGTCTTCTGGGCACGTTTAGTCATGAAAAGCAAGCGTTCATTTCAGCTCAGTCAGTGCCACCCCAGGGATCAGGGATGAGGAAAACTGTTAAACCTCCAGCCAAGAGCCAACTCTGCACCTTCTGTGGTGTCAGAGACGCCCTCCCCAGCCAGCCACGTGGGAAGAGCCATGTGTTCTTGTTGGGATCTGGCCCCATCCCAGAAGTCCTAGCGTATTCCTTAAAGATAAGCCTGTTCCCATTTGTCCCTGTGTCTCCATCATGTCCCCTCTCCCCGCCCCCCACCCCCACCCCATAGCCCTAATGGGTCCCTGGAGTAGAAGGTCCCCGCCTCTCTGGTAGGGGGTTGGGTGTGCTGTGCCTCTCTTGGCTGGGCTGGGCACTGTTGCCTTTCCAGCCCCCTCTCTCCTCTTCGCACCTGGAGGCCAGCTGTGGCCAGACTCTCCTGTAGCACATCTGTCTGCTGTTTTGCTTTGGCCTCTGTCATAGCTGAGTAAGGGGATTCATCTTCACGTCCTCCACGCAGAACCCTAGTGGCCACAAGGACGGCTCTACAGAGAGACCTCAGGCCAGACCCCGGCTCCTCTGCTCACATGCCATGCAACGGTCTGTGTGTTCTTTCTGTTTCCCATAAAATCTTCGCTGTGATAGCAGCCGCCCAAACTGCACGAAGACGCCCTGACACCAGGTGTCAGGAGCCGGAAGTGAAAAACGCCTCTAGTAGGGGCCAGCTCCCCCAGACTGTCAACTCTCACGCCCTTCTCACTTCTTACAGAAGGAGATGGACAATTACGAGGCCCCCTTCCACTGTCTGGCCAAGCAGTTCCACCAACTGTACCGGGAGAAGGTGGACATGTTCCATACCCTGGTGTGAGGGTATAGTGGACCGTCCCACGGGGCTGGCCAAGCTGGGCTGGCCTGCCGTGAGTCCAGCAGACCTTCATCTCTCCAGAAGACAGAAGATGGAGTGTCTGGTACTTCTCAACTATCATCACAGCTTTCAATAAAGTGAGGAAAGTGAACATCAGCTGCTTCCGTTCTTAATTGGGGCTGTGCCTTTAGCCCCCTCCCCCCCTGCACTGGCCAGTCACAGGGTACACCTGGCCCCTGTTTCCACCCTCCGTGTATAGGGCCTGCCTGTTCTGCAGGTCCCCAATAGGCCTTCGGTAGAGAAGGCCAACCCCGGGCTGGTTTGGAAGTACCCATGAGCTGCCGCAGCACCAGTACATAGAACCACCCCTGACTGGAGGATCTCCAGGCACCACTCTTCCTTGAGGGGACTACTGTTCCACGGAAAAAAGTGACCCCTGCCCGCACCCACTGCTCAGCTTGGGTGTCAGCCAGCCTCTCGTGGCTACGCTGCTGGGAACCCCGAGTGCCCAGAACGCTGAGAGCTGGGCCGCTTCCTGTAATGGCCCCCTCTCCGCTCCGAAGCTGGGCGACTGGCTGTGTCTCCCTCCGCATCGAGCTGAGCCGCAGTCCACACCAGGGCTGCGGCTGCAGTGTGGCACCTGAGGCCTAGGATTGCCACTCTCCCCTGGGGACCCCCACTTCTTCAGCGACCCCCCTGGTCCACAGGGCTTTTGTCACCCCCAGTCCCCGATCCTCTTTTGAGAGAGTGTCACACCAACAGCACTAGCTAGGAGTGTACAGCCCCCCGTGTGTCCTTGTGGTGACGGCCATGATGGAAGGCCTCTGGTTACTGCTGGTGACCCACCACGTCTCTACATGAGCTAAGCGCATTACACGTATCCGCCAGTTCTGTCCTTACAGCATGGAGTCTGTTAATATCCCGCTTTTACAAATGACAAGCTGGAAGGAGAAAATTAAGCTCAGCCAAGGGGCAGCCGAGCCAGAACGCTAGACTCAGACTCCAGAGCCAGCAGCATCCCGCTCCCCTCCTCCCTCCCCCTGAGCTTGGCAGGAGCCGTGGAGGCCACGCTGCCTGCAGAGGGTGAAGGTCAGGCTGCTTGCCAAGGTCACAGGAAGGAGAGAGAAGTGTGTGCAGGGCAGCCAGGCACAGAGCAGCAGCCAGCACCCACACCTCCCTACCCCATGCCGTGACTCCTTAGTGTGCACTGACTATGGCCACTACAGCCTGGCAACTGCATCACTTCAAAAAAAACCACAACTGAGGGTTGACTGCAGGCCAGGCACATGTCTAGACACTGGCAATGCCAGGCTACGGAAGGTCCTCGGTGTACAACCAAGAGAACAGAAAGCATTTTCCATCATCCTAAAGCTGGTTCCTGGGGCCCCAGGATCTAGCCCTGAGATCCCGTGCCACAGAAACCATGTCCTAAAGGTCCCTTGTCTTGGCAGCTGCCCTCAACCGCATCTGACCCCTCTGCTCCCCACTCTACCCTCCTGTGAGGCCAAGGTGATCAAAGTGGAATAAATGATGCCACCTCTCCTCAGCCTCAGAACCTAGTGAAGGAAGTCCCTGGAGAGTCCTGCAGCTAAGGCCACTGCCAGTAAGAGGCACTGGCATTGGGCTCCCCAGCTGGAGGCCAGGGAGGCTGCGGAGCTGGTGCCCGCTGCAGGCTGGGTGCTGGTGCCCTTGTAGGAACCCAGGCAGTGTCGCTGCAGTTGGAATGCCTCTCTGGGGACTCATGGGGAGGCGCCTGCTTCCCAGAACACCAGGGACCTTGCAGAGAGTTCTGATGGGAACATGTGGAAAGGAGCTATGGGCAAGCCAGGTGGCATTGGGCAAAAGCTGCTTCCTACCTGGAAAGGGGCAGGGGGATTGTTCATCTGACAGCTGAAAGGGTCACGGCTGCCTCCCACCGTCCAGGGGCACGGATGCACCAAATCCAGAGAGACCACAGCAGACTAAACCAAACCAAGAGTGGACCTTGGGGAGTGTGCTAGAGAGAGAGAGAGAGAGAGAGAGAGAGAGAGAGAGAGAGAGAGATCATGCTTCCCTCCTCCTCCTGGGAAGAGATTTGAACAGACTCACAGGCTTCAAATCGGCTGGTCTAAGGCATAATGAGCGAGCGTGCCTGACCACGCTGAGGAGCCTTGGTGAACGCAGCAGGAATAGAGAGCAGACTGAGTTTAATGGATAGAGAAGGC